ATAAAATATTTGTATTCAAGCTGGATGTAAGTAGAGGTAGCACCTGAGTCCCAACACTTAGGGGCTGAGACAGAAGGATCACTTGAACCCAGGAATTCAACACTATCCTGAACAACAAAGTGAAGTGAGTCTCTATCTCAAAAAAATTAATTAATTAAAAAGTTCCTGTTTTAATGTAGGTAGTGAGTAGACAGGTATTTACAATTCTTTCAACCTCAATAGAGGTCTATCAACAACTAAAAAAAAAATCTGTGTGCTAACAGATAATTAAAAATATCAGTCTTTCCAACTTTGGAAAGGTAAGGTTTTAAAATAATCAAAACAATACTTCACAAACAACTATGAACATTATAAAGGAATACTGATTCAGTCATTTTTACTGACCATCTTATTCTCCAATGATGAAATTTAGATTATTAAAATAAAAATTACCAATATTTTCATTGGTTTCTCCATTTATCATTCCATTAAACTCTCTTCTTCCCGGACGAGTCACTCTAAATAGCAATGAGTAAGACTTCACCATATGGCTGTTACTAGGTTCAAATTCATTACTGGAAACTGCAAGGGACGGGAAATTTCCAGGTTTTGTTTGATTGAGGTCGGGATTCAAAGGCACCTGCTTTTTACCTGTGGGAACTTGTCTTATTGGACAACTTACATCCTGCAAAGGTAAAGATTATTAAATTAAATTTATACATGAGCAACAATACAATGAAATTTCTAACYATAGCTACAGGAAACATGGTATAGGCCATGCTTACCAAATGCCATATTAAAACAATCACTGTTTTGGAAACTGTGAAGCAAAGATAAAAAATGTGGAACTATATTCCAAATATTAAATCAACTAAAGATTTCTGCAATACGATGAAAACAATGATGCAGTATATTCAATATCTAGATGATGGTCATACAAAATAGTTTTATATTGGCAATTAAGGACTGGGGGTGTACCTCAGATGTAGATTGCTTATTGTGTTCTATTCCAGTTAGTRCAAAAGAAATATGGAATTAAAAATTATGCTTAAAATGCTAAATCCATGTAACTGCAACATTTACCTTAAATTTTCAACAATATCTGGTACAGATGAAAATCACCAGAATTGAAAAACAAAAWGGCCCACAGTCAACATTATGAAACAAATTCATATTAAAAAATGTTTAGTAGAAGCAAGTTACCAAATTCTAAGTAATGTTCTGTTAACATGTAAAGATGTTATGCTGAGGGCTGGGGCTGGGGCTCAGCAGTAGAACACTTGCCTGGCATGTGTGAGGCACATATAAATAAATAAAATAGAGGTCTATCAAMAACTAAAAAAATATTTTTTAAAAAATGTTATCCTGAAAGAGAAAAACTGAAAGATACAGAGGATGGACCTTTGTGATGAGAGACATATCTTATGGTATTATTCTACATATTATATATATTTTTTTTTAAGTAGATGGACACAATGCCTTTATTTTGTTTATTTATTTTTACGTGGTGTTGAGGATTGAACCCAGTGCCTCACACATGCTAGGCAAGTGCTCTACCACTGAACCACAACCCCAGCCCACATATTACCTCTCTTATGGTAGTATCTTTTAAAAAACAAAACAAAAAAAAAAAAACTTGAATATTGGCTCATAGTCTACTGCACAAAGGAGTSTAAAATGAGAAATATTAAATCTCACTCACACCCCAAGTTCTAACACTATAGAATGACTAATACTGGCAGTTGACTATTATATCACATTACACTATTATTCACATTTTTTTTGCATTTGAGGGAGATACTGGAATTGAACCCAGGGGCCCTTTAAAACCTGAACTACATCCCTAGCATTTTTATTTTTTATTGAGACAGGGTCTCACTAAGTTGCTTAGGGCCTCACTAAATACCTGAGGCTGGCCTTGAACTKGCAATCCTCCTGCCTCAGCCTCCCAAATTCCTGGGATTACAGGCATGCGCCACCACACCTGGCTTAAATTCAYATTTTAATTATCAAATTCTTGCACAATTTTTCCCTCACTGTTTGTATGGGGGTTGGGTAGAAGTAAGGAGCAATGTGTCCAAACTTTACATAAACTTTTTAATATATGTAATTATATTGCTGTTTCCTATGGCCATAGCCAACTTTCCACCAATGTTCCAGAAGTTTTCAACCCCCTTATCATCTTAATAAGATTCTGACAGGACATAAGCATAGGAACCTCTATATAGGTCAGTTCCTGTTTCTCTTAAAAGACTGAAGGACTTGAAGCTACTCAAAGTATATCTGTTGGCTTTGGTAGGTTGCCCAGGAAACTTAACCACTGTAACACTTGTTTCTATGGTGAAAAGATTTTATCTTCTAAATAAAAATTTGAAGCAATGTATTAATAAGTTAATGGCTGATAATGCTGATAACAAAATTTCTTTGCCTGAGAGTAGTGTTTCTTTTGGGAAAAAACCTCTCTCTTACCCCTTATTTAAAATTTTAATGAGTACTAATAGCAAGAAAGAACCTAACAAAACTGAAATGATAGTGAAGCAAATAAATTCACATCAKAAAATGCTAAAATATAGCTTCTTTCCTTATCTCCAGATTCCTCTGGAGAAAGTTTTGTATGCATTAGAAAAAACACAAAGTTATGGAAGGCCACAAAGAAGTTAGTGTTATAATTCAGCCATCAACATATTTCTACATATGCATAAACAAGTTCAATAAAATCATTCCACTTGATCTATCAGTATTTTATACATTACCTTTCTTTTTTTGTGACAAACTTTGACAAGCAGGACTTCTAGGGTAACAGAATTTTGTTCATTTTCTGAGTTTTGTGATGGCTTATCTAAACAGAAAATCAATACTATAAATAAATACAGTATGTATTTTCCCAAGTTTGGGAATTTCAAACAATAAAGACTTCCCATAATAAAGATTCAAAACAAGTTGACTCATTCTTCTTTCCCCAATTAAGTTCCAAACTTGCAGCAAACACTTTAAAAGCCTCTTTATATAGTAATTTAAATAAACCTTTCACAAGAAAAACATAATTACCTTCCTATATACCAATTACTTCTGATTTCAAGATTTAACATTTATGATAACATAATAAACTGCCAATAAAAAGTAATTTTGATAAACATAGTTAAACCCTCTTGGCAGAAATTATGAAAGAAATGAGTATATAGACAACCACAGGAAAATAAAATAAGTATCTTTAATTTTTTCCCCCTGCCAAAATCTATTACTAGGAAATTTAAATTGGYTACTATTACATGTTTGTTTATGAGATACTAAACTAAAAAGGTTCTTTAATTGATCACAATTTTAGAAAAAGAAGTTAGTTTTGTTTTTTTTTAAAAAAACCCTTTCCCTAGAATTTATAAAGTCTAAATAGGAAAGCAAAACCTTGCTACTGTTTACTACCTAGGATAATCCCATAGCTTATAAAATTTACTAATTTTAGTTTTGAATACTAAAGTGTATATTTTCTATATCAGTTAACAAAAGCCTTGCAAATTTAGGTTCCAGAGTACTCCTCTATAATATGTTTGYCTTTAAAGTCCCAAAGGTTCAGAGCTGTGAATGTAGCTCAATAGAAGAGGACCTGCCTAGCATGTGAGAAGTCCTAGGATCAATCTCCGCTACCTCATAAAGTCCAAAATGTGTTAACTAAACTAAATATTCAATCATTAATTCCTCATTAACCTTCAACATAGAACTATTGTAACAGATGAATATATCATCACATACATGAAGAAACAAAAAGTTTCCAATACTTTTTCACTTTAAAAATCATCTCTT